AAATCACAATTACAACACTACACAACAATTAAGAGTACTTCTTAAAACCCTAAACTAATCTTTATTAAATGACATTTACTTAGCAGAGGTTGTAATTCTTTGGGCTGCTTGGCTCATTCGACTATCATCTTCTGTTCCACTGTGATTTTCTTGTATTTCTTTTTCGGTAACGGTCCATTTTATTTTAAGCCGTAGAAATTAGGCCGAGTCGGAGGGGTTAATATCGGTCATATTATGGGCCTGCAAGCTCATTGCCACTGCCAATCAGCAAAAAAACCCTGAAATTCAAAAACAGTTGGATTTGGAGGTTGGGGATCGGAGTGAACCGTGGGCCTACAGTACGTCTAAGATAATGATAAAGAGCGTAAGCGGGAAATGGTTCAGTGAGCTTAATTGCCCACATACAAGCCCATGGTCCTACGCAAAGATTACAACTCTTTGTCCTCAACGACGTTTTTGGGTTCTGTTTAGCATTAATTTGGTTTTACGTTTTATAGGTTTTTTATTTTTATTTTTTATATATTTAGTAATTAGTATTAAATTTGAATTTATTATATTTAATTTAAATATAACAATAGATACTAAACATATAAAAAAAATTGAATCTATACTTTTAAAATATAAGTTAAAAATATAATAAATATATTTTTTATAATAAATTTATATTAAAAAAATAAAAATGACTTTTAGTTTAACAATCGTTTAATTAAATTTATCAATATAATAATAATATTAAAATTAATGTCAACGTTTATATATTTTTTACAAATTTATGAGGAGAATGTAAATTCAAAAGCACACATAAAAACACCCATATATAAAAAAAATAAAAACTCAAAACCCAAATCAAAGTCATGTTGCACCGAGCCACAGCCAATCGGCCTAACAGGTTCGGTACTCTTTTTAGGCATTTTGGGTGTCCTTTAAAGTTCTTTTTGAGACATTTTGAAGAAAGGAAGGAAAATATTATATATATATATATATATATAAAATAATAATAATAATAAAAAAAGACCGCACAAACGCAATCTGACTGGGGAAACTTCTGCATCTAAAACAAATAATCTAAATTCTGAAACAAGCAGGCAATACTCAGAAAGGTTCTATGGTTTAGGAAACAACCTGATTACCACTTGGAGACCTTTTTTAATCGACGTACCAGAGAACCCCTCTGCCTCTCAGATGCAGCCTGATGACCACACTTTCTGTTAGGACTCTAAAACTGTGGAAAACAGAGTTGAACAAAGCTCCAAACTGAATACTCTTTGAGGAATTAATTCAAACATTTACTGGGCATAATCAAATTGAGCAAGTGAAAGAAAATGAGAGACAGTAGAGAACACAAATCAATTGGAAGAAGAAAATGGTTCTGTACATCTTAATCAACAGATAAAAATGATCTTATAAAGAGGCAAAATTACAACACGTGCTGCCAATAACTGGCACAATTGTTATTGTAGATGCTAGCAAGCATAACATAAAGATGAACCAGAATTCGGAAACGTTTCATCCGTACGGAGGGAAGTCAGGTAACGGGAGCTCAATAAACGGAGACAGCTCAGGGAAGTCATCTGTACCAGTTCCGGAGTAAGATCCAGCACCAACATTACCAACATGGAGATGAGCCGCCGGAGCCAGATCCTTTGCGGCATGTGCATAAACGGGTTGATCCTCTCTAAGATGATCCATTCCGGCTTGGACCGGCCACTGCGGCTGCTCTGTCTAAGGTATTATTGAAAAAAAAAAGAATAAAAAAAAAAAATACCACCCAAGAAGAAGAAAAGTCAGGTGACTCTAAAGAACTTGTATTGGCAACAAGGAGAAAACAGAACATCCTTCAAGTTGGCTGCAAGATTTTCACAAGAACATTTACGAGCAACAACATTTTCCTAAGAAAACAGTAACTAATTATGGATTGGACTCCGCTTACAAATGAGACTAGGAGCCCTTTTCCATTTATTATTAGAACAAAGCTAATCTTTCACATCTTAGTGAATTTCCATCCTCATAACTAGGCCTAGGCTGATTTGACAAATAGATCTAGGCGGAATATGGGAATGAATCTTGTGACTCTGGCTTCACTTCCGTAATGGTACCGCAACACTCATATAAAACAACCTGATAGCCACTTTGAAAACTGGAAACGGACTGCCGTTCTTTCGAATATAGAAAACGAATTTCCAGACACTCTCAGCTGTGTCCATCCATTTGAACACATTATCCCTGTATCTCGGAGGCTCAAAATGGCTTGGTCGGAAGCGCAAAGTTCGCATTGTTGGCAAGTCCGTCATGAATTGGGCTGGGATTATCAACTTTTCCCTCACATCAGTGCTCTCCAGTTCTTTTTCGAAGAAAAACCTAGTTGAAGAGGAATCAGGACTGCGAAGCGTTTCCCCTGATTGGAGAGGACTCGAGGAGAAAATCTGAAACGGCTTGCATCGACGCGTCAAGATTCGCTGCCTTAGTTTAAGAAAGAAAAGGTCAAGCAACAATTTATGAATAGTACGTACATGGAGGATTTGGCTTATCCGACAGTCATGCAATGCAAAAAAAGAACACATAAATTTTCAATATTTTTCAACAATTAGAGCAGACTCACCGATACTTCCGTCTTCCAGTTGTTAAACGCAGAGAGTTCTAGCACCTTTTTCTTTTCCTCGTCCAGCTCTCTTCTAAGAGATTTAATTTCATAATCTGACTGTTCCTTCTTCACAATGGCGTCTGATAGCTGTTTTTGAAGGCTCCTTATTTCGTTAAAATGCTCTTTTCCAAGTCTTATTATTTCATCAGAATGCTGTTTTTCAAGGCTTCTTATTTCGTCCGAATGCTGTTTTTCAAGTCTCAGTCGCTGGTTTTCAGCCAGAAGTTCCAATTTCTGCTTTTCATCTGTAATACCCTTCAGATTGGCCTCCAACTGTTCACATTTAGCGGTGAGTTTAGCCAGCTCGTCCTTGATTGTCAGTTTTTCTTGCTGAAAGTACCATGTGAAGTGTTTTAGTGTAAGTAAACAAAATTCAAGACCACACTCCAAAATTGCTAATGAAATCACAAAATGCTTACCTTCATTTTTTCCCTATATGCTTTATCGCTGCGTTTTTTTCTGTCACGCAGACCTGGTTCCCCAATTTCCCCAGGTTTTCTCTTTAGTTGTTGCTGCGGTGGCTGAATTCCGACTTTATCATGCTGTGTCACGCTCGGCCCAGCTCCCCATGTTTGTGGTGCTGCAAATTAGGGAGAGGATATTAATTGCATGAAACCATCATCAAATCTGTTAAACTGTTAATATATATGCAAGAAAATTTGAGGCTAAGAAAACCCAACAAATACATCGATTAAACAAATTACTTCGTACTTAGATTTTCAATTTTCTCAAGTAATAATGAAGTTCTTTTTAATTATATACCAAAGTATATACCAATCAACTACTTTTGCAGACATCCATCAAACTTACCAGCATCACCCAAAGATGGCATAGATTCACTTCCGCTGTGTCCTTCGTTCCCCATCCGTTGAAGTGATT